CTGGGCCGGTCAGTCTGCTGGACTACTGGTCTGCTGGAGTACTGCTGGACTACTGCAGGCCGGTCAGTCTACTGGACCGCCGGCCTCGCTGTCCCTGGGGATGGGCCGGTCAGTCTGCTGGACCGCCGGCCTCGCTGTCCCGGGGGATGGGCCGGTCGGTCCGCTAGGAGCATCTACTGGACTGCTCACTCCCTCTCTACTGCAGACCCCACACCCTTTTTTCAACACCCCCCAATTCCCGCAACCAGCAGATCCTGTTCACCTATCCAGGGCTAAACCTCACCCCTGGAAATCTGGAGAGAGGGGTTTCCAGTCTCCTGCTCCAAGATCTGTAATGGGCTCTGTGTGCGTGAAGAAAGGTCTCCTGTTCCTAGATCCTACCTGAGCAGCTCGCTATTCCCAATTGGTGCACAGACAGACAGTCACACTGAAAGGAATGAGCTGGAGGGGAGACTTACCAGCAAAACACTTGGAGCAAAGGTTCATGGTCTTGCTGGACCTAGGGCAGAGAGAGAGAGACAGCAGGTTAACCCACACAGAGCCCAGAAAATAGACAGATAGACAGATAATACTTTATTAATCCTGTAGGGAAATTGGCAGCTTGATTAGAAAGACGGTTACTGCCATTAAAACATGAACTGACAATTAACCACCCTCAATTAACACAAGAAACAGCAGGGCAGAAGAGAAAACAAGCCATTAATTAGTGACAAGTGAGGAACAGAACCGGACCTGTGTGTGTCTGGTGAGGGGGAGTGTATGGAGTACCGTGGCAGTGTGACTGCAGGGCACTGTGCCAGGAGTGCACGACCCACACGTGGGACAGGCAGTGCCCTTCTGTCTCGGCACTGAGCAGATCGACCTGTAGCACTGGCACCGTCTCTCTCAGGGGGGGTTAACACGAGACCTTATAGCTCTTATAGCTAGGCATGGGACTGGCATTATACAGAGGGAGCCTTCTCACCCGGGTCAGAAATACAGCAGGTCCAAGACTGGCATTGACCCCTCTTCTAGAGTGTGTCTCAGACCCGATAAGGATCCGTGTTAATTAGGATATGGGTTTCCTGCTTGCCTTCCAGCGTTTACAGGGTTTATTCCAGGCCTGTAGAAAGCAGGACTCCGATACGGCAGAACTGGAAATATCTGAAGAAAACCATGAAACACTGCGTGTAACTGTGTGCGCAAATAAATCTGTCCTGTTTAAGCTTGCTGCCTGTTTATTACTCCGTTATCAAGCTGTGCTGGAGAATGCAGAAATCGCGTGCTGCGAATCGCTCGGTATTCCCTGACAGCAGGGAGTGAAATTATCATTAATCTTTATAATTTGCTTCCATAGCAAGCTGGTGTCAGGACCTCATTTTGATTTGATTTGACAGCTCCTTGTTTTCGAGTTTTATCACCCCCTTATGTGAAACAATATCGCCGGGAAAAAGATGCACAGCACACAAAGCAGCCTCTCGCCCAGCCAGAATATGTATACAGATTCTGAACTCTGTGTGCCCTTCGAGACGAGCTCAATCACACTGCAGTACCAGACCCAGCACAGGAATGACCTGGGCCGTGTCAACACCTCCCCACAGCTGCCTAAAGCAACCAAGGTGTCATATGTCTGAACCACCGCCTCCTGGTGGCACTCACCTCAGTAGTCATGAAGCGCATGGAGAAACTGGTGATGGGACACATCAACAGTATTGCCCTGGACTCCCTGGACCCCTGCAGTTTGCTAATAGGAATAAGGGGTCAGTGGACAATGCTGTCTCACTGGCCCTTCACACCACTCTTGAGCACCTGGACAAGAGGAACACCTAAGCCAGGATGTTATTTATTGACTTCAGCCCAGCCGTTAACACAATTGTGCCAGGCAGGCTGGTGGTCAAGTTCAGGGGTCTGGGCCTCAGCAACTCCATCTGCAACTGGGTCCTGGACTTCCTGACAGGCAGACCCCAAGTGATGAGGATTGGAAACAAAAACGCATCCCCTCTGATCCTCAACACAGGCTCCCCCCCAGGGCTGCTGCCCGAGCCCCCGGCTGTATTCTCTATTTACACATGCCTGTGTGGCTCGATTTAATAGCAACCGCTGCATCAAGTTTCCTGATGACACCACCGTAATCGGTCTTATCAGCAACAATGGGGTGTAACCCATAGGGGTGTAACCCCGGTGTCCTGGCCAAATTTCCTCATCGGCCTTTATCAATCATGGCCTCCTAACAATCCCCCTCTGTGAATTGGCTTCATTACTCTGCTCTCCTCCCCACTGAGAGCTGATGTGTGGTGAGCGTTCTGGCGCACTATGGCTGCCGTCACATCATCCAGGTGGGGCTGCACATTGGTGGTGGAGGGGAGTCCCCATTACCTGTAAAGCGCTTTGAGTGGAGTGTCCAGAAAAGCGCTATATAAGTGTAAGAAATTATTATTATTATTAACAATGATGAAACCACCTACAGGAGCGAGGTAGCTGAGCTGGTGGAGTGGTTCCACAACAACAACCTCACACTTAACATCGGCAAAACAAAAGAGATTACAGTGGACTGCAGGAGGCACGGAGGACGTCACACACCCATCATCATTCACGGGGCTCCAGCTGAAACTGTCAGCACCTCCAGATCACAGAGAGGCCGAGCTGGTCAAAGAACACTGCTGCCATCCTCACTAAAGCCCACCAGCGCCCTCTCTTCCTGAGACAGTTAAGGAAGTGGGGAATGAGCAAGAGAACACTCACCAATTTTTACCGTAATACGATTGAGAGTGTCCTGACCAGTGGTGTTGCGGTGTGGTATGGTGGAGCCACAGTACAGGACAGAAAAACCATACAGAGGGTTGTGAGGTCCGCGCAGAAAATCACTGAGACCGAGCTACCCTCCATCGACCGGATATATCTCGACCACTGCCACAACCGGGTTCGGCTATACTACAGGACCCGATTCACCCTGGCCACGATCTGCTTTCACCCCTGGGTTCTGGTAGGAGGTATCGCAGTATCAGAACGCTGACCAACAGATTCAAAAACAGTTTCTTCCCCCAAGCAGTCCGCATCTTAAATGGCTCAAATTAGCACCTGCACTTTTTAATATACTGCACTGCTTGCACTATGTCCTGTCTTGGCTGTATTAGAACATCTATTGTCTAAATTTATTGTCCATGTCTGTCTGTCATTTGTGCCTATTTTTCCCTCCGTTACTGGGTATAGCTGAATGAGTAAGCATTCCAATACACTTGTTGTATATGGCAAATAAAATCTTGAAACTGGCATGTTTAACCCCGATTCCCAGATCAGCTGAGGAGGAGGTTCCAAGAATGTGAATCTGCGCCCCACATAGGAGACGTATATACAGTTCCCTAGAAATGTGCAAGAGCTCTGACCCCAAGACATCCTCAGCCGCAGTAACAGCTGCAGTTATGTCATTCTCCCTCTTTACTGACTCAGTGACCCATCCCACAGAGCACCACAGAGCTCAGAGTTAAGGATCAGGGTCAGT